TCAAAAGAATCAACTTTGTGATTTACTGCTACAATTAATAATTGTCTCAGTAAATGCCCAAACCCTACAGAACTGGTGCCTTCAGAGAGCCACTATGATTACATATTTGGCGTGCCTGAACCGGGTTTTCCCTACACAAGGTAAGCCTCTCTTGAGGGAAAACTACAAAACAAAGAACACTTGACAAAGAACATTTCAATTGCAACTGAAATAATGTCTTATGTTCCCATGAAACCAAAATTGAGCTTTTAGGACATGCTCATCGGCATTATGGTTGGCATAAAAAACAAGAAGTTCAAGCTAAGAAAATGCTCAAGCCCACTGTGTAATAATGAGGAGGTCTATCAAATATTGGCTGTTCTACATCTACGTGTTCTGAAGCCTTATTGTCAAGATAAGGGAACATGCACCAGGACATTTTGGCTTGACATCTGGTTCCTTCTGCCAAAAACCTTAAACTTGGCTGAAATGGACATTCCAGAATGACAGCAATCCAAAGCACACATTCAAATCACTAAATGCACTCAAAATAAATGTTCTTGTACAGTCATTTCAATCTCCAGACCTCAATCTAATTGAACATTTGTAATTCTAACAGTTCACTGACCAAAATAATGGGTCTTATGGACTAACAGAATTCCATCCTACGTAAAAAAATTGGAGAAAATACAGTCCATAAGATCACATAAGGCTTTTTGGCCTTAATTCCAAAAGATAATGTTTGGTGGAAAACCATTTTTGGGAAAATTGGCCCTGGTGTGTTCTTTCAGGTAAGGTGTGTTAAGTCACCATTCGGTCACTTCCTAATCTTTTAAACAGCTTTCCAAAATGTGAATACATGGATCTACCCTACAGTATTAACACCAGGCCATAATTTAAACTAGACTAAATTAGAATAATTTAAACATCCTTAAATGCATTACTCATCATACTGCAAGAAAAACAACTGCATTAAATTCATATTGTGCCACTTGTGTAAGAACTGCTGTCTCACATGTCATGTCTAACTTTTTAGATGCTGCCACATGCTGCTATTTATTTTTAAATTAATGTATCCAATGTTGCCTTACCTTGCTTTGGGCCTGACTGCTCATGAAAGTCTATCACCTAACAGCAGAGCTACGTAGCACCTGCCTCTCTGTCATTCATCAGTGAGCCAGGGATCACTGAAGAATGACAATACGACTGAAAGGTGATGCACAGTGAAATGTATTCACATGGTACCATGCTTCCACCTGAGCAAAGGAGAGTGACAATAGCTGGTATAAAACTTACCCAATGTAGCACACACAGGAATTTTACAATGGGCTCAAGAGTTACTGGCACCCTTGATAAAGATTAACAAAAAACATATACAATTACCAGCAAATATAATTAGCTACATTTTATGCCCCCCTCAAATTAGGAAACTACAGGCTTTTATTCTAATATAATTATTTCAAAACAAATGTTCTTAAAAGAGTAATACACATTTTGTCTTTTAAAACATAGATGTTAAATGTATTGGATTGGATTATTGGATTGATTGTTTCTATTAGTTGGCGAAACCTCCTCTGGCATGGATAACACAAAGCCTTTTCCTATAATGTTTAATAAGATTGAAGAACACACTGGGTGGGATTTTGGACCATTCCTCTATTTAGAAATTTTCTAAATCCTTGACGTCCCTAGGTCTACACTTATGGACTGCCCTCTTCTATTCAGAATAAAGGCTTTCTATTGGGTTTAAGTCCAGAGACTGTGGTGGTCATTGCAAAACGCTGATTTTGTTTTCAGTCAACCAATTCTTTGTTGATTTTGAGGTGTGTTTAGGGTCACTGTCTTGCTGGAAGGTCCACCTACGAACAAGTCTTTCTTGCAGAGGCAACCAGGCCTCATTTTCTTTTGGCCAGAATATCCTGATATGCAATAGAGTTTATAATGCCATTGAACTTAACAAGGGCAGTGGTAAAAAAGCAGCTCCACAACCTGAATGATCCACCACCATATTTTATGGTGGATATAAGGTTCTTCAATTTGTAGGCATCCCTCTCTAACATCAAATGTACTGATGGTGTGAGTGACCATAGAGTTTAAGTTTGGTCTCATCTGACCATAGAACAAGGTTCCAATCAAAGTCCCAAAGAGGTTTGTCAGTAAGGGTTTTCTTCTGGCAATTCTTCATAGCCTGTTGGCATGGAGGTACCATCTAAATGTTGATTTGTAGACTTGGTGACCCCAAGATGCAACCAGACACTGCAGTTCTCCAACTAGTTTTCCTATTTTTAGGCATACAATATAGCTCATTATCTGTTTATCTTACATGGCTTTTTATTGTTCATCATTATCAAGGGTGCCAATAATTCTTTGGGCCAATGTACATATTCAAAACAACCTCCCATAAACATAAACTCTTTATTTAAGGCTATTGAGTAATTTGCATCAGTCTTTAGGTACATTACAATTATGACTTCTTTACACTCTTTTTGAGCTTGAAAACAATGATCTGATGCTTTAGACCTGGGGTTCTTAACCTCAACCAAAGGTTAACACACTAGGGCAGTAAACGGGACACATACCCAGGTTCACGGTGGTTACACATCTACGGAAAATAACAGAGGTAAACAATTAACTATTCTATACACTTGCACAGTTAAGACTATTTACATTAACAGGGTGACTTAGTGGTCACTCTGCGAGCCCACAGACCATCCCCCGGCTACTACTCCCAGTCTGCCCAATGGTGTGCTTGGAAAGGGCGCTACATTAATTTCTACTGGGTGGGCCACAATTGCATTCATATTGGCAGGACTTTTTTCTTTTGTGCAAGGTAGACATGATTAGCCTAGCAATGGAGCGTTTTGGAATAGGTGGCACTGGAAGAGTAAGAGCTAAAGATAACGTGGAGAAAAGCACGGCAGAAAACTCAGAACAGAAAAAAATGAAGAAAATGAGAATATACGATGAAAAGCACCTAAAGTACGGATTTACAAGTGATGGAGAGGATGCACCTATATGTGTGGTTTGTGGTGAAGTGTTGGCTAAGGAAAGCCTCAATCCTCTACTTGCAGACCAGACACTCGACCTTGAAGTCTAAACCTATTGAGTATCTTAGCTTCTGTAGCTTCCATTAAAAAAAAATGGAAGCTACAGGAGCTAAGATGCCAACAATCTACCCTCCAAAAAGCCACCACTGTGAGCCAGAAGCCACTTCAGGTGTTTTTCGTCACTGGGAAGGCACACACGTCAGGTGCCTTTTTTCTTACCATGCACTTAGGAAATGGTTTCAATCATGTGCGGGAAAAGCACTGCAGAGCAGCTATCATTGATATCAGTGTCAAATGATACCACGTCTAACCGCATTGGGCGTATGGCAAGAGACGGGGAAGAGCAGGTGATCGCTAAGATAAAATCTAGTGTGTATGTTTCTTTACAACTTGACGAGACCACCGATGTCTCCGAAGATGAGCTATGACTGGCAAACACAGTGAGCTAGTCACGAAGGTACAGGCTGTTGCCTGTTCGCTTTGTAAACTAGTAATGGATGAAGCTGTTCGTACTATAAATTCCATCAAGGCCAGTGCAACAAGCGCACAACTTTTAAAGTTTATTCCAAAAATTAAGATGACTGAAGAGGCAGCCTTACTAACTGTGGAATAGTATTCTTAAAAATATTAGAGAATCTGGCTCTGTGGATATTTTTAAACGGTAGCTCAAAACTTATAGAATTATAGAATTTCAGTGCTATTTGTACTGTTTGTGCATGGTTCTTTTATTAATTGTTGTTAATTTTAAGTTGATAACGTTTTTTATTTTTTTGTAACAAGCTCTTTGAGTTGCAAAAAGTTTTTATGAATATATTGCTATATATTCATATATTAATGCTATATTAATTAAAATTATTAATATTAATTGAGTAGACCTACAATTCATACAGATTTTTAAATCTATCTGTGTGCAGGGGGCGGGGTTGGAAAATATTTTGAACCCCAAAAAAGGGTCACACTCTCAAAAAGGTTAAGAACCCCTACTTTAGACATAAGCTCACTTGGACTCAAAGGTATTACCCACGTAGTAATTTTCCGTGAAATGCAGTCACAAGATAATTCTCACAACCGCGTTTTATGTACCTATCAAGCAAAACTGTAAATTTAGAATCTGTTTGTCCCTTATGTTGGACTACAGAGCAAGTGACATCATCCTTGATGATTTAACATTGAAGGCAGAGACTGCACTCTTTATGAAAATAGGGATATACTAATAAAAACATAACTAGCAAAATAATGCAGGGAAGCTTTAGCAGAAGCAGATGGAATAGACCATTTCTATGTCAACGTACTGAAGCTGCATTTTATTTCAAAGTTGTCAGACAAACAGCATTTTACAGGAAAACAAAACAGCAACACAAAACGTTTAGAACATGAAAAACATACTGAAATCTGCTCTGCTTAATGTAATACATGGGCAAATAGCATGGAGAAATGGAGGACAATACTTGCCATCAGATTCAGGGATTATTAAAGTCTGCTCTGTAGCCTGGGGATGTTTCTGAGGTCTGAAGGCTCCCTGAGTGGCAGCACGAAGCTTGGGCAGAGTGAGTGCTTCTCCATGAGCCTTCAGAGAGTGCTCCTTCAACTGGCTGATCGTCATGGTGGAAAAGGAACAGGACAAGCACTTATAAGTGTTCTCACCTGTGCAAACAACAGAAGAAAATAAAGTTTACAAATCAGAGGAGGCCATTTGGCCAAAACTTGCCATCAGATTCATTGAATCAAATCATGCAGTAAAATTTCTCCTTTCCCTTATCCCAACTGTTTTTTAAGTTTTATTTTCAATTTCTTTTTATTTCTTGTCAATGAACCAAGAAATTCAGATGTGACCTATCTAATTGCAAGAAACATGAACTGAAGACACACAAGAGCCCTCACTTTTGTCATTTCCAAGTTCCTCTTTCAGACAAATTATTCAATGAAAAAATTATGTCACACTGTACAACTTAGCTCTTCTTAGACAAGTTACTCCAGAGTTTTTAAAATGTTAATTAATGTTAATGTTAATGTTTCTTTATTAGCCCTATACAATTTCTTGCATTAGGAATGCGTCTTTTCGCATACCCCAGCTTTTCTCCATGGAGAAAATGAAGTGCTAAGACAAAGTTAGACAAAATACAGCAGGCTTTTTTCACCTTCAAACATATTGCTCAAATATAAGTTCCCTACATCAGCTTAAACAATTTCCTAAAATCCCTCGGTAGGTAAAAGTGCAACATTTAATAGGTATTGCATCCAGATGAGATGAGTAAGATCTGTAGAGAATTTCTACAGATCTATGTTCTGTTAATACTTAATTATTTTAAAATGCATATATGAGTGCACACATATGTATATGTGACAATAGCTGGTATAAATGAGCACACGTGAGGAGAAAGGTCTATAACTTAATTACAAACTGAAAGACAAAAAAATGTACAACTCACAGTAATATGTACAGTTGCAGTTCCTGTATAAATGATAAAAGGATATACAGCACTCTCCAAATCTATTAAATACCCTTAAATAAAAGTTGATTTCCCATGATAATCCAGGTGGATATTTAGTTGCTTGCCAATATAATTTAATTAAAAAAATTAAATTCTAGCATAACTTTCAATACTGTATGAAGAGAACATCTGTCAAAAAGTTACATATATTTCTAAATGTATAATAAAATTACTCACACCCTGACAATCAGTAATTTGCGAACTCCAGTTTTGATAACCTTCATCAAGCAATGGTAGGCTTTTAACAGGTTGTTTAAACTACTAAGCAGGGATATTTGACTATTCCACCATGCAGAATGTCTTCAGTTCCTCCAGGTTGCATGGCCTGCCTTTAATCTGATTTTTTAGATAACAGACTCAAGTAAACTTTGTAATACACATTTCTTTCATTTCAAACTACTACATCAGGACCAGATGATGCACAATGACCCCTAAGGTAAAACAGATGCATTTCTGTTCTTCACAGAAGAGATGAAATTCTATTTCATGAGCTTTGTTTTTCTATGCTAACCAGTTTGCTGGTGACTCAATCCAAAAACTCAAATCTGTATTTTATCAAACCAAACCATCTGATCCCATATAACATGGAAGTCAATTAGTTACCGATTGGCTGTTTCACGAAACTGCCTCAGACACCAGACATACAGGAATATGTATTATCAGTCACTAGGTACATCACGAAATGTGCTGATGATGTTACACTCACAAAAGAAAACAGAACTTTTCCTAACCAAAAACCATGGATGAACAGTGAGGTTTGCATCCTAATCAAAGCAAGGGATGCAGCATTCAAATCGGGCAATAAATCAGAACTAAAGTCAGCCAGGATCAATCTAAAGAATGGTATTGAACATGCAAAAAACACATTCAAACAGGAATTAGAGGAACACTTCACCATTAGTGACCCAAGGCGCATGCGGCAAGGTGTACAGGCCCTCACAGACTACAAAAGGAAGAACATCTGTGCATCTGCCCATGATGCATCCCCATCTAATGAGCTCAACACCTTCTATGCTTGGTTTGAAGCCATCAACACAGAACCAGCCAACAGAGCTGCACCCTCCGCAGCTGAGCAGGTGTTCTCACTGTCTGCAGATAAGGTGAGGAGATCTCTGCTAAAAGTGAACACGCGCAAGGCTGCAGGACCCGACGGCATACCCAGTCGCGTCCTCAGAGCCTGCGCCAATCAACTGGCAGGTGTATTCATAGTCATTTTCAACAAGTCAGTAGTCAGAAGGGTCACTAACTTTAAATTCCTTGGCGTCCATTCACAGAGGACCTCACATGGTCTCTCAATGCCACTTGTCTGACTAAGAAAGCGCAACAGTGCCTGTAATAATAATAATAATAATAATAATAATAATAAACTATTTTATATAGTGGCTCTAAAGGTGGCTTCTCAAAGCGCTACTTCCTAAGACGGTTGAAGAAGGCTAAGATATCTCCCCAGATCCTCACTAACTTTTACAGATGCACTACAGAAAGCATACTGACAGGTTGCATCACAGTGTGGTATGGCAACTGCAGTATTTCTGACCGCAAAGCCCTACAGCGGGTGGTGAAAACTGCCCAGTCCATCACTGGGGTTGCTCTCTCATCCCTCCAGGTCATTTATGACAGATGGTGCTTGAGGAAATCTCTAAGCATCATCAAAGACCTCACACACCCCATCGACAGACTGTATGATCCTCTACCCTCTGGAAAGCGGTACCGGAGCATTCAGGCCTAGACTACAAGACTACAAGGGGTTTTTACCCCCGCACTATCTAACTATTAAACTCCTAGCCTCTCTCACCTATGATCTGAACCCTCACAGTGCATTCTCTCTTTTATCAAATCTTAAACACACATTGAAATCCACCTCTACCTCACATGTCAAGAAGCTTACTCCCCATAATTTTCTATCCTTTATTTCATTCTGTTGATGTATGATTTTGCACATCTGATGTTGTTTTGCACATTACCTGTTACCTGTTGTTGTTTTGCACATTGCCTGTTTTTTCTGTCTTTTTCTCATACAATTGTATTGTTTTTTTGTACTGCTCTCAGAGCTAGTTAAGTAGCATTTCGTTATACCATATACCTGTATATGAGTATAATGACGATAAACTTGAACTTGATTTGATTCATGAGTTTAGCCTCGAATGGCAGTAGTAGACATTAATTATCTTAACCTATCAGCAACAAAGAGAAATTTACATGACAGGCTACCTCAAACTGTCAGCTACACGACTCGACTGTGAATGTTGCTTAAGCCACTCCTATTTGGCTTTTTAGTTATGGAGGCGGGAAGACGCCCCCGCCCTCTGGGTGCCTAGCTTGTCACCATCTTTAACTGCTCTGGGTCCGAATCGCAGTAGGAGGAGACATGTATGAAAAAAAGTTAATCCCAGCTACAATACAAATATATTTTTGTGGTGAGAGGGAGCAAAATATCAGTATTTACGCCTAGTAATTAGTGTTCGTTTTATTGTTGAAATCTAAACCTAAATATAAAGTTAAAATCTTGACAAACAAAGCAATGTAGAAAATGCACACTTTTTCTGCAACAAAAATACAGAGAAAATAAATCCTTTCTGACATCTCAAATCAGTTTTGAACAAGGTCTCCAAAATGAACAAGAAAAAGAGTATTTTCAGAGAGCAATTACGCTGTGTTTATGTAGAATAAATGATTAGATTTATGAGCAAGCTAATTGTTTATTAGTTTAAAACAGTGAAATTTCAGCTGCAAAAGATCGCACCAGAGACAGCACTATCCTTGCTTATCACAGACATTCAGGAAAGGGTGAATGAAAGAAGTCATGTCAAGTACAATAATTCAGTGATTAATAATAAAAGCTGTAGGACAAGAAACAAAACATATTGAAAACTTAAGCTTTTTAAGGCTAAAGCTAAAATTCAGTCAACAAATTAAGGCAAATGAAAATTTAGGACGTTAAAGTGCTAGAGATGTTAAAAATACAAAAAGGCAAAAAGTTTTAGAAATGGAGCAGGTGTTTGCAGGTGAGCAAACAGAAAAAAGCCATGACTAGACATACTGCAGAAGAGGGATGCAGGAACACTCACAAAGTCACAAAATGTGACAAAATCACAGACAGGTGTATGTTTCTATATACAAATATACAAAAAAATATTTTGTCACAAAATATAGTTTTGTTTCTCGTCCTACAGCTTTCATTTACAAAAGATATACAAAAGAACATGCAAATATGAAATAGATTTGGCAAAGAGTGAGAAGAAAATTAGCATGCATAAAAAACAGCAATTCTGTCAGAGAGCCTTATATGAATTAATAGCAAACATGGTTTCATGGAGGGCTTCTCAGACAGTTGGGCATTCAGGTAGAGGCGAAAGGATTTGTAAATATATTTTGTTAAAGCAAGTTGGTTATTCGCAAAACATAAAATACATTTTTCCAAGAATGTTTAGCCTTTGTCACTAATGAAACCACTAAATAAAGACATAAATATAGAAATCTGAAGATTTTTTTATTCAATGTTGGTAGCACTGTCAGGTTGTCAGGTTGAGATAAGTGTATATTTTGTTGAAGAGTTGCTGCAAGATTTTCAGAATAATTATAAATCTAGAAGGATAAAGAAAGTACAGAGACTGATCAGATTAGGATGCAAAGCCATTTAGCAAAGAGGGTGTGAGAAGAGTGACAAACTAGTATACTTTAGATCTGAACTAAGGAAAATCTGATCATGTTTCTCTATAACAATAATAAAAAACTTTATTTTATATAGAAACTTATGACATCTCAAAGTAATACAGTAGGTGTAAAAACAGTTATAAGGACCACAGATTACAAAGTAAATACATATAAGAAAGACAAGCAGTTAGAAGTTCTACCAAAAATAGAAAATGAAGCAAGCAGATACAGACAATAAGTCTTCTGAAAAGAAAGGTTTTGAGGTTAGATTTAAATGCATTTAGGGTAGGTGACTCTGATATCACTGGGGATACAAATCCAGAGAGCTCTGGGAAGTTGACTCAAAACCTGATAGGAAGCCAGTGTAAGGACTTGAAAAGAGGCGTTATGCATCCCGATCAGGATTCTGGCTACCAAATTCTGAATATATTGGAGATTACTCAGTGTGGATTTAATTTAATTACCCCAGTGAACAGGATGTGCATTTAATAATTCTAGAAAAAAAGCCTTTCTTGGTTTTTCTAGTTCCCTTTAGTGCGATGTTCCACAATGCTGAGTGATACATGGCTGGTATTTACATATAATATTTGTGATTTAAACTAATTAATACAAGCAGTTTTTTAGGATTTAAGTGTAGGCTGAGTTATTGCAGGATGTAAGACTAGAGATGTAGGTAGGAAAAAGATAATTTTGAGAAAGCTGAGGAATACACTTATAACAAGAACACTTCCTAATAGGGTTAGGCATACTTTTGACAAATTGACAGGAGATGTTATAGACTGCAGAGGAAGATGATAAAGTTAACAGACTGAACGTTTACACAGATACTGAAACGAGGATTGTAATTTAGATTTGTTTTTGTAGTTGCTAGCATTGAACTGTGTGTTGGATGCACATAAATTGAAGGAATGGGTAAACATAGCTGATGCTGATCAAGAGATCATAAAATGTTTATATTTAGAGGCAATTTGTTTAAATAACTAACTAGTTATGGATACTGATGTGCAAGATAGGTGGAAAGGCTGTTTCCTTAAGCCAGCACTATAAAATAATTTATTCTTAGTGAGATGCTGCCATTTCATAGTGGGTTTCTATCACTGTGTATAGTTACACAGTGCCTTTAGTTCCATCCATTTTCTATTTTTTTTTTTGCATATATCACACATATGGAAAAAAAACACGGAACCCAGAGAGGACATGCAAACTCCATACACACAGGAAGGCAGGAATAGAACAGAGGGCCCCAGTGCTGGAAGATAGCAATGCTCACTACTTTGCCACCATTAGGAATGGATGGATATCTTAGTTATCTTTCTAGTTCAGAGGTTTGCATGCATAATTTAATTTTGAAAGCCACTGAGACATCTGGTACTATTGTTGTATTTATGAAAAATAAAACATACAAAAAGCATACAAACAACTGTGCCACCCTATTCCTTAGTTAATACATTTTATTTTAACATTGTTAGCAAAATGTTTTGAATTATATTTTACCCTATTTTTTCTTTAATTTTGTATTTAACTTATTTTCTTATAGTCAGATTTAATGTATATTTGAACAATGAAAATGTATTACAGCGCTAAATTGAATATTATTGATTACTAATAGTTTATGCTAACACCTAACTTTCTTAATTAGATGTATTTAAAACAATGAACTAAGTTTAACATAACATTCAGAAATACAACTGCAAATAGTTTTGTGATGTTTGTACAGATTAAACTTTTCTAAAACATATAACAAAATTAAAGATGATTAAAATCTGCAATCTGTAATGTAATGTCATTAGAAAGTACAATAAGTTCCTGCTTTGTCTAAAGATGGTATCAAAAAGTAGTCTAATTGGTGAGAAAGCTGTGCTTAATGATAATTAAGGAACGTAGAAGTCAAAGAAAATGATTTACGTCGTTTCATTTTAAACACTAAGTTATGAATGCAGACGCAATTGGTGTCATTCGCACCCCGCTCTGTAGAACGGCCATTGTGTAAGACTGAGCTCAGTGCCTCCTCCCTCTCTTGGTGCCACCTTCCTCTCTGACGGAGCGCAGTGGGCAGAACACTATTTTCTGAGCCTCTGATTGGGAAAAAAAGACCTGCTGATCTGTCATACATAACAGGAAGAGAACAGACTGAGACCTTTTCTGTTTGAAACGTGTGTTGTCTTTATAAAATTCATGTATTTTAAATGTTTAACGTTTAAAGAAGTAAAAAACGTATAGCATACACAAAGATTCTAAGCTGATCACGAGGAAGAAAAATCACCTGTTTTTCGTGCATAAAAAGCGGTTATTAACTATTGAAACCTGTTTTTATAGCTTTTAAAGACATGCAATGTCTAAGTTAAGCAGGAACACATCATTATATAATTAGTTTAGAAAAAAAAACATTTGCCCAGTCTATTACAAGAAGACAATTAGCTACAGAGTGCAGGAAGAACATGTTAGCTGCAGATGTGCTTACCTGCATGAGATTTATGTAAGTGATTTTTCAGGCGACTCATGTAGGCAGATTTGAATGAACAGAACTTGCAACGAAAGGGCTTGTGGTGTCCATGGTGAGACTGCACGTGTCGATCCAGGCTGAGGGGACATAGCAAGTATCAGATGTCAATAAGAAGGAAAAACACACAGGAAATTCAAGACATCAGAAAAATCTATTTTGATATCAGCTTTCTGCAGTGAAGACATACCGAGGCACAGATATTGAAATAATGGAGCAACAAAAAGGATGTTTATAAGCAACCATAAACAGAGACAATCCTTGTTTATTTGAATAGCAATGTATTTATATAGCTATTGTAAGCTATATAAATAGTAAACTTATTATTTCCAAAATTTAGCAATTCAAAATCAAAGTAATGTTTAAAACGACTCAAAGAGATGTGCAGCTCTATCTGTATTATGCTGTGGGGCTGAGGAAAATAAAAGGGTACCTTATGAATGTGTTATCATAACCTCAAAGAGTTCAGTCTTCCAGTACATCCAAACCCTCTTGAATAAAAGTGTAACATACAGTACAGCCACCATAGAAAACAGAAGGAAGCTGCGACAGATAATTAAATGAAAGGTTTCTTGCAATCACACACTATGTCAAGCCAAGCCAGTGTGACTGCTTCAAACACTTTTATAATGATAATCCTTAAAATTACAAAAAAGTAGGTAAAAAGCATGGAATTGCAAGAAATGTATTACATGAACCTGCTTAAATGTAATACAACTTCCCTTTGAATTAGGGTGTAATTAGATGCAAACCCTGCTCAGTCTTGGCTGTTCTTACTTGTGCCTGAAGGCTGACACAAACTGGCAGTATTGGCAGCTGTACTTGTCTTCTCTAGTGAACATGGCCAAGGCCGAGTGGCTCCTCTCATGGGAGCGGAGGCCCTGCATGGACATGAAAACACGGTCACACTGCGTGCACGCATGACCTCCTGCAGGCCGTTCCTTTATCTCTGTGGTTTCTTCAGCTCCCTTTTCCAGCTCTCTTGTCTCTGCAACAGCGCTGGTGTCAGCTGAGCCTCCGTCCACAGGCTCTACTTCTGCCATTTCTGCTTCCACTAGGCCACCATTGGCCACACCTTCCTCCGAAGGAGTGACCAGCATTTCTCCTACTTCCTGCTGAAAGACAAGACAAATAATTATTTGGTGCTAAATTTGTTTTGTCTTTTATTTTAATAAGTGTATTTGATTTCAGAATCTCTTACTTAAAACCCTCAACAATTTGACCTTTCTAAACTATATTAAAATAGTTTCTATTCTTGCACCAAAGGATGTGAATCCGCAGCACTATAAAAAGCAAGCGAATGTGGATAACACTTCAATTGGTTATCCAAGAAAACACTTTCCTAAAGAAAGTGACAGTGGCAGCATGCTATGTGCATAAAAACTGTAACAATGCTGAGGAATTTAATGTTTGATATGACAATAGGCTCAGTGGCCTTATTATTTTCCCTTAAACGCATATAGTGCCCTCCAGGAGTATTGGGACAAAGACAAAACTGTTTACAGTCATGTGATCATTAACAGTAACTGAGCCAGTTCCAGAGATGGCCATGTCCTTGAAATTACTTCCTCCAATGCTTCAAACTTGTTAGAAACTACAGATATGAGACAGAGGAGATTTGAAACAAAGTTTTATGGATAGAAACTATGAGACCTAGATACATTTTATCAAAATCATGGAAAGGTTCAAATTTAAAGAATTAAAAAAACAGATGTTAAAAAAACACTTCAACTGTAAAACATGATGGAGGTAGCATCATGGCCTGGGCATTCATGGTCACCTCTAGAACTGGCTCACTTGTCTTTTTTAATTATGTCAACAATGAATTCTGAATTTTATTGGATTATTTAATTATTGGTTACTCCTTCACCATGCAGCTTGACAATAACACAAATCATATAGCCAATTCAACCAAGAAGTTCAACATGAGGAAAAATGTGGAAAATCTTAGACTGGCTAAATCAATATCTGGATTAAATCCAAGAAAAAAATCAACTCAGAACACCGAAGGAAAAGGCGAGAACAGGCATCTTGAATTAACTGTGTTGAACAAAGAAAAAAGTTTCTGTTATAATTTGATCAAATGTATTCAAGGAATTACACACAAAAAAATGCAGTTTATTGTGCTTATCATTCATGTAAGTGTAATGATCACAAAGATAAACTGGTTGACTGTAAATGAGAAATAGTTTTGACTTATTTTCTCAATACATTCTATGGATGTGTATACTTTTAGATCTGAGCATCTACTTAAAAAAACAATTTTGAAATATAAGTGTCTAGAATAAAATGGTTTGGTAGCTTTCAATTTCCATTGGGTTGTGTTATACGAAGGTTGCATAAGATGAATACAGTAGTTTGGTAAATACTAAGACATTTAACTTTAACTGGAAAGGTCTGACTATCCAGACCTTAATCTTACAAAGACCTATGCAATCCTAACTTCCTCTGTACCCACAGCGATGTACACATTACTCTTCCTCCTGATCTTCAAAGAGGAAATACATTAACTGCCTTAAGCATTAAGTGGTTCCCTATGCAAAGAAATAGCAAACTGTATACTTTTAACTTTTTGTTTTGGAAAACCATCTTACACAGCACTTTCTAAATGCACTAGTATGGTTTGCACATATGCAGGCATGCATCGTTGGGCCTTTTCTTGGGGGCATGGTACTATTAATTCTATTCAAAGGTTGAAAGTGTTAATGTATTACAGGATTGTCATCTAAATATTTTTATTTCAGATCAACAGATCACAGCTTTCATACTTGCATACTTGAGTGAACATAGATTTTCCTTCCAGGTATTCCAAACCTCATTTTTATTTCCTCCTTGGAACAACTCATCACAGATGTTATGCACTGTTTTCTGCAATCAATCAACATTGCTGGCTCCTGGGCTTGCAGGAACAAGCCTTGGTCTGGCCATCTTTTTGAGATGAAACACTGAATCTTTGGGGCTGTCTTTTAGCCAAGTACTTGGCAACCTCTCTGGAATACTAATGTTGAAATGTGACGAAGTACCCATTGCTTATGAGATTTTGTAATGAAACTCTCTGCTTATCATCCAAGGCCACTGCTGCAATAAACAGACTTCTACTGTTTCCTAAAAGCCCTATATGTTATCAATCTTTCTTAATACCAAATATGTATAACTTAACTCACAAACAGCTGAAATAATTCTTAGGAAATCTCCTACTTTACCAGATTTAAGTGAACCATTTTTTTCAAGTTAATAAAGTTACTAAAATATTTGAAATATACAACAATCAATAAAGCACGTCATTTTAAGTACTTTAACACTTCATAATATTAAAGGTATACAAATTTGCTTACTCACCAAATTATTTTCTAAAAATAAGTAATCCAATAGAAATAAGAAGAAAACTGCAAAAAGTTTAAAGCATGTTTCTTCTAATAGTTCGCTAAGGTTGTGATATTGCCTACCATAACAAAAGATTCTGCAAAAAACAGTCCTGTACAGAAAAGAACAATACATAAACATATCCTAAGAACCTTAAGATGTTAATGCAAATCTGGAAAAAGTAAAAAAAACATTAGGTTACATTAGGCTTCTGGTCAATCTTGGCCCACATGGTTGCTAGTACCAAAACAGAACTACAACGTTTACTGTACCTATTACTGGGGCATCATGCAATCGCAAGGGGACTAAAAACAAAATATGATCCTTAAATAGCATACGTTCCTTTTTCTCTGAGTGACAATAAAGAGATTTATTCTGCAAAAATACAGGGCTGAATATTTATAGATACAAATAGTTATCACAATGAAATATTACATTTTGAAGAATAAACCAGAGAATCTGATGTTTCAGACACATGACAGATATAACCATTTTCTTGCAGTAAATATTGCAATGGTAACAAATCTAAGACATTAATCTCTGGAATCAAAATATGGCCTTATGAGTTCACTCTTCCTTCAGTAAACACCACATCAGTGTTGTTTGTGAACCAAGAACATTATAGGAATTCCTATTTATCACTATTAGTGATTTAACTGCATCAGGTCATGACCTAGGGTCACCAAATGAGGAACAGCTTGAACACAGCAAGGAACCACAGAAGACTCATAAATCTATTTAAAATCATGACAGCTTAGAGCTACTTGTATGTAATGCAGTGATTTCCTAACTTATTACCAAGTTGGTGCTTCAACATGTACAGCAGGACAAATCCTTTTAAAGTGCTGCTTGTATGTGAACCCTTCATCTTTCATATGTTTTAGACAAATTATCTTAAATAATCTTTTATCTGAACTTCAATACTTAATGAAGATAACCCAAATAACAAACACACATACATATTTTCCTGGCTATCCTCCCATGAATACCGTTGCTATTCAGCTTGTGTCGTATTGTTGATGTATAAACATGGACATCAGAAACCAGCTGCAGCAAGAGAGACCTGGGGTTCTTTGGATATCCTGTAAGTTTTCTTGTTGCTATGTGGGATCATTTTGAAGGATGTCCACATCTAGGTAGGGTCTTAAACTTTTTTCCATTTTTTTTTTCCAATCCTATATGGGGAATTTAAAAACCTGTATGGGGAAGACCAATTTGATTACATCTCTTACCT